GGCGAAAGCTGGTTCGCAGATAAGCCCCCGAGTGAGAGGGAAGTTCGCCACTCAGAGTAGTTTTTTAACTTAGGCGAAAGCTGGTTCACGGCTAAGCCCCCGAGTGAGAGGGAAGTTCGTCACTCGGAGTAGCTTTTTAACTTAGGCGAAAGCTGGTTCGCGGCTAAGCCCTCGAGTGAGAGGGAAGTTCGTCACTCGGAGTAGTTTTTTAACTTAGGAGAAATTGGTTCGCAACTAAGCTGACGAGCGTTCACCCATAGGGGGGTTGGGCTCAAGTGTGTAAAGGTGAACTCAATGAAGTACCGGAAAAGAAATGCTTTTATTTATCAAATATCACTGTGCTTTTATTACATCTTAACATGTCGACGTCAAGTATAAAACCGCCGAAGCAGGTCGGCATTCCAAGCGCGGGGCTCATCTATATTCTTCAGGAGGTTGTAGAGCCTGTACGCTCCTTTATGCAGAACCTTTGAAACGATAAAGGGGCCTTCCCATGTGGGAGCAAGTTTATGAGGCCTCTGCTAATCCACTCAGAGCACAAGATCACTTTCCTGAAAGGCACGACCCCTGATGTGTCTGTCATGGAAGCACCACATGTCCTGTTGATATGTGGCCGAGCGGATGAGGGCCATCTCTCTCACCTCTTCCAGGAGGTCAACGTCGTCCTGGCGTGCCAGCTCCAACTCGGCTTCAGAGTACAATTCCACTCGGGGTGAATTGTGGAGCAGATCACTCGGCAGGACAGCCTCTGCTCCATACACCATGAAAAAGGTAGTGCGTTTGGTAGACCGATTGGGGGTCGTCCTCGGCCCCCAAAGAACAGACGGCAATTCGGTGACCCAGGCTCCAGCAGCGTGCTCCAAATCGCGCATGAGACGTGGCCAGTAAAAACCTGCTCGGTAACCTTTAGCCACGATCGCCCGAGAGGACGCGTGGTGTCCGCAAGTTCCCGAGTGGATCTCCTCAAGGATCATTGGCCTTCCTCTGGGGAGATTCAGCGTTGAGTCACGCCGGTGACGCTCCTTCTGAACAGTTGGTCGCCCATCACAATGAAGGCCTTGGATCTGCGAAAAGTTTGACGCGCTTTGACCTCGTCCTCTAGAAGCTCCTGCCTAAGCAGGTACGCAATATAAGGTACAGTCCAATCGGGCGTGACCGCCAGAATCTTCATGACCAAGTCTATAACTGCTGGGATCTCAACTTCAGTCGAATCGGAGGGTCCGACTACTTGCGGGGGCTCTTTGAATGAAGGTGCTCAAGGAACATGTTGTTAGGTAGCAGTTTCCGAGTGGAACCGATCTTTGCCAGGTCATCGGCTGCTTGGTTCTTAGCTTAAGGGATGTGGTGAAGCTCTAGACCCTCGAATTTCTTCTCCAACTTTCTCACTGCGTTGCAATATCCCATCATGGCAGGGCTTCTGATGTCCCATTCCTTGAACCGATCTTTGTCAGGTCATCAGCTGCTTGGTTCTTAGCTCGAGGGATGTGGTGAAGCTCTAGACCCTCG